TTACGACTACGAGATGTACTAACCTATCCATGCAATGGTGTATCTGACAAGTTGAGGAAATCACAGTGTTTGGGCGTACCCGGTTGGCTACGACCACCCAGCTGCTCTAATCGTGAATCTGTGCCTTCTTCTGGTAAAGTTCTTGACGGTTGGAGTCAACACATCTCGGCGGTTTTGGAACATGCCTCTTGTGCTGTTAAAAGGGTGTGGAGTGTAGATTCATTCGTCGTCTATGAATCTCTAGATCTCGCCGGCTACTATTGAGACTAGAAATAAACAAAGGCATTCTTGACACTGTGCCGGCATCTGTATGAGGCCGGCCACCGTCTGAAGAAGCTTAAGGCTGTGTCATACGTTCATCATCTTCACTGGCCTTGGAGACTGGCGCTCCGTCGTTTCAAGGTTCCGGAGGCCAGGAGGGCGGAGGAAAATTATACACATAAGATTCGTAGCGGGCCGCGCAGTGGAAATTTGTGTGCGAGCCGTCTTTTGTGCCAGCTGCGCTACTGTAGCTATCCTTTTACCGACGATCAAACACAATAACACGACTAAATTGGGATGCTGGTCATCGCGCAGCGAACAACAGGGACATCGGATACTTTTGTTTCCAAGACATTGGAGTCCGTATCCTTTTGTCCCATTTTGTACACCAGCTAAGCCCAGACCCTGTTGACCGATTCACCTACGTCAGCCGCGTATAATTGAAGGCCACAGCTGGCTGTCCTGAATTCCCGCTAGGGTTCCGCAGCTAGCAAGTGGTTCCATTGCAATACCTCAGGGACGTCGGTAGCTGGATAGGAGACGGCTGCTAGGCTATCTGTGACATATAGGAGATCCGAGACATCCATGCAAATTTGTCAATGCCATCGCACAGGCCGAGCTGGCAGAAGATCCCAAATGCCAGTGCAGATGTATGTTTGAGATCTTCGGGCTGAGCTCTGCCCAGTCGCCCCAAGACGGGGGTGGCCGTGAGCCGAAGACCATCAGATGACAGCGTATGGACTGATATCTTCACTATCTGGGTAGGCCACGGGATGGCGGCTGTGACGCGGTGCATAACCAGGGAGTACGTTGTCAATAAAAACGGTGTATACGACAGCCGCAGCGACGACCAGGCTGGCAACAGCGACAGGCCGCGAACTGGAGGGACAGCCGCATTGGGATGGGCTCGGCGGATTGCCGCCCAAGGACGTCGCGACAGAGAAGGCGGCTACCGTTGGCGTGGGAATGCAGGCACGTGCAAGCCCTCTGCCCACGCGATAACCCTCTGCCCAGCCCAGCTTTCGGTTCCACATTTATTCACCAAATCCAACCTTTTCTTCACCAACCACCATCAGCCTTACTTCCCCCACCACCACCCCTGTGAGTGTGCTCACGCCCTTCGTCACCGTCCCCAGCAGCGAGCTCATCGTCTCTCTTGCAGTCTCGTCTTACCCTCTCCCTCAACTACCGCCTAATCAACAGTGCGTCGACGCGTATTCGCTCCTTTATGACGCGCCTGTTGACATGTTTCGCTGTCCCAGATGTCGCAGTCGCGTGAGGACTCTGTCTACCTTGCCAAGCTCGCTGAGCAGGCCGAGCGTTACGAGGGTCCGTACTTTTCCGTCATTTTCCGTGATTTGCCCGCTGACATGGGCCACACGTCATCAGAGATGGTCGAGAACATGAAGCGTGTCGCGTCGTCCGACCAGGAGCTCACTGTCGAGGAGCGCAACCTCCTGTCCGTCGCGTACAAGAACGTCATTGGTGCCCGCCGTGCGTCATGGCGCATCGTCTCCTCTATCGAGCAGAAGGAGGAGTCCAAGGGCAACGAAGCCCAGGTTGCCATGATCAAGGGCTACCGGGAGAAGATTGAGAGCGAGCTCGCGAAGATCTGCGAGGACATCCTCGACGTCCTCGAGAAGCACCTCATCCCCTCGGCCGCTACCGGCGAGTCGAAGGTCTTCTACCACAAGATGTGAGTGATCTGGGTGATCTACTTGCTGCATGCAGTCGTCTAACTTGTCTCGTGCGTTCAGGATGGGTGACTACCACCGTTACCTCGCCGAGTTCGCGACTGGCGACAAGCGCAAGGAGAGCGCGGACAAGTCGCTCGAGGCCTACAAGGCCGCATCCGATGTTGCCGTCACTGAGCTCCCACCGACGCATCCCATCCGTCTCGGCCTTGCACTCAACTTCTCTGTCTTCTACTACGAGATCCTCAACAGCCCAGACCGTGCGTGCCACCTCGCAAAGCAGGCGTTCGACGATGCCATTGCTGAGCTCGACACACTATCGGAGGAGAGCTACAAGGACTCGACCCTCATCATGCAGCTCCTCCGTGACAACCTCACCCTCTGGACTTCGGACATGCAAGATTCCGGTTAGTACCTGCGTCATTCGATGGTTGTAGGCAATGATCTCATCGGTTTTCACACAGACAAGCCTGCGGATGAGAAGCCCTCGGACGAGGCTGCCGACGATGCTTAAATGCTTAAATCTCGTCTGGGATTGTCTGCGGCCCATTCTGGGTCCGAGGACGTGTTGTCGTTTTTGTCTCCATCATCCTTTTGACAGTAATCATCTGCATTCCCTCGCATCTCGTATCATATCGCATCCGTAACGACCCCATTTTTTGTCAGACCAATCCACGTTCTGTCCACACCGTCTTTGTTGAGGCTCTATCACGGTGGGCTGTCGTATAGTGGAACGGAAATTGTGAATCGAATAAACATCTGCATACTGGAAGTCTTGTCCGACGTCGTACTTCAACCTTGTCCATGTGTCTTGGTGAGGAGCTGCGTGCCACAATTTGGAATTGTAGGCCCCAGGTGTGCGATACCGACATCAACTCGTGTGATCCTTGGTTCTCGCATCGTTGCCGATGAGTCGTTGCTGGCTGAACAAGGGCTAGCTTCCCGTTGTACGGGATAAATCTTGTGTGGTCATGTCGAAACTTGCGCCACAATCTGGAACAGGAGCGACTACATACACAATACGACCTCGAATCCTTGCAGCGCTGCCGACGTTGGTCCGGTTATGCAATGAAGATTCGGACCGTCTGCTGCTGTACATTCCCCAGGTGCTGATTATCTGCCTCACGGTGCCCAGAATGCGCCTGTCTAGTGGCAGCGCCAGGCTGCTCGGAACAAGGCTATACAGACACGCCCCACTCGAATCACCATTTGAATATGTGCGAAGCTGACGAAATGCTGCTGCTGCTGTGTGCATCACGGTCTCGCTTCTGCACAAGCTTCCCAGGATCACCGTCGCGAGGCTTTAAAGGTAGCCTGGCCCCGCACCGCGCAGGGCTGACCGCCCCTGTCCCCACCGCTGCGTGTACATCCCACAGACGACGAAGCAAGCGAGCGCGCGCGTTGACGATGTCAGGTGGGTTGCCGCCGCAGTGCGCGAGAGCTTGCCCGTTCGGGCGCGCGTGGTTCGGTGCTAACCGCCATGTGTGCGCCGCCCAGGTTCGCTGCCCATGTCCGGCGCGCGCACGCAGATGCTGCAGAAGAAGCTCCAGGTGGGCGAGGCTATATCTGCGGCGGGCGGCGATGGCGAGGCTGCATCCCGCAAGGCCGTCATGAATGTCGTCCAGGTCTGGTTGGACCGGCTGCAGCTGATCAGTGTCATTGTGAGTGCTGGACGCCGACGTGCTTCACGGAGAAGGCTGAGCTGATAGATGTCGGTATCGGTAGACGACGTTCTTTGCCTCGATTGACGGCACGCTGCTGTCCTTCACGATCGGTCTGACACACACCAGCACGCTGGACAGTACCCAATGGCCGAACACAGTTCAGCTCTTGAATGCGAGTCTCGCTGGAGCCCTCATATTCCACGTATGCGCCGGTGCGTCTTCATGCTCTCTGTGTGGTCTCTGCTGACACATATATACAGCAATCACCTCCTTCGTAGGCTCCTTCATGCTCATCCGCTACAAACTCAACGACGCCGATGCCAACGACGTGGAGGTCATGTCGACACCGGCGACGGCCTCATCCACGCCTTTCGAAAAGAACATCTCCAGGCACTACGAGGCGCAACACACAACACTCGCCGACACCCCTCCGCTCGCACACACCCGCACGCGCTCAGCGCACGCCGCCGCCGAGCACCACAGCGGCAGCGGCACGCCGTTCATGCAGGCGACGCAGGCCGAGCTCGCCGCGCTCTTCGGGAGCTGGTGCGCGGGGCTCGCCGCGCTCGACCCCGCGCGCGTGTCCGTGCACACCGTGCGGCCGTTCTTCTGCGTGAGCCCGCGCGACGGCGCGGACCGCAGCGGCACCGCCGCGGGCCCGCCCGTGCGCCTGCTCTCCAACTGCCACACGCTCGCGGCGTGGATGGCCGTCGCGGGCTTCGTGCTCGCGCTCGTCGGCATCCTCGTGTTCGCGTGGACCGCGCTCCCGACCGGCGTCGGCGCGTTCGCGAGCGCGTGTCTGGGGACGTGTCTCGTCGCGCTGCTGGCGACGCTCAGCCTCAGTTGACGCGGCTGCTCTGGGCGATGTCTCGCGCATGGTTCCTCGGTATCACGTTTTGGTACGACTGCGACGACTCTGGAGATGTACTTTAGTAGGCCCTTCGTGGATGATGTAATGATAGTATTCTTGTGCCCACTGGCACTGGGACCACGAAGAGTTCTGTATGCGGCACTCAGTGTACTAGTACGAAGATACTGATTTGTGCTCTTCCCGTGTGATGGGTCGCAGCGGCAATGACGACTGAACGTGAAATATTGTATCCTAAATCGCAAGTTGTTAGAGATCCTCGTCGGGCTGCATCACTGAGACTGTGGCTCACTGTCTACCGACGCGGCAATAGTATTAGTGGACTTGTGTCTCATTCACTGACTGTTATTCTTCCCGTGTGACGCGTTTCATTCGTGCGCGCACGAATGAATACAACATGTCTGTACTCTAGATTCAAGGTCTGCTAGAGATCCTCAAACTGACTTTGAGTGTGTGACATAGGGCCGCCGTACATAGTAGGGAAGGAAAAAGAAGTCACTACGGACCATTGAGCATCCCCGGTGGGACTCGAACCCACAGCCTTCAGATTAGAAGTCTGACGTCATAACCATTAAACTACGGGGACTTCAAACATCCCTTGCTATACATACATTATAATCGTTTATCGTTTCAATGGCCAAACCTCCAGAGCTCCACGGCCTGTAGACTTGACAGTACTAGTTTGGACTAGCGTGTCTACAATGTCTGCGGCGAGGCGAAGAGTTCGTTTGAGCTAGTCCGCTATACCTACCGCCAGGGACGCAGATCCACCGCCCGGGAACGGCCTGCCACATCGTGGCCGATGTGCATGATTCGCGCACGATCTCCGCGACTGCGTGCAGCGGGGCGGAGTGACATGTGTGCGGGTGTTCGTTTTTGCTTGCGACGGAGGTGTCCTCGATTGCGGCGCAGATCCCGTGGGCAAGGCTGTGTGCCCGCATGGTAGAGGCAAGGACACGAGGTCGTTGAACAGGCGGTTCGACTTCGCCAGCTAGGGTGACGTCGTATAGCGCGGTCTGTGGCCCAGCGTGCGGGGAGGGAGCACGGGCTCTGTAGAGAGCTCTTTGGAGCCGTTGCAGAGCTTCGTGAGCGAGAAGGCCGCGGGATTTTGAATTGGCGGGAAGGCGTGCGCACATTCACTACGGGCACCAGACCCAGCCCTGTCATCCAACTTTCAGTCCGACGACAAATGTCACGGCTAGCGACGCGACCCCTTTTCTCGATGGCTCCAAGCTGGCTGCTGACGGCCTAACAGAATCGTCTGGACTGGGATAACCTGTACGTGCAGGCAGGTCCGTATCGGCTGAAAACTAGATTTACCGGCCGTTTATGTGGTCGTGACGACATTGTGCTGTTGTATTGGGCCGAAGGGAGAAGGGCGATGAGCTTCCAGAAGCAGTGAAGAACACGGTAGGCTCACCACGTCGCCACCATGCGTCAACGGGATAGGGAAAAAACTCTACGGTAAGCTTTTAGGCAAACTTGAAGGTGATATCTGACTGTATTCGAGAACGGGACAAGGATGCCCCTAGACAGGTAGAGGCACCCTAATATGATGTCTCGGTGTCGCTGAACGAGTGCTTGGACTCGCTGCTAGTGCGATGCTCACCGAGCCACCAGAGACCGCGCGTGCGAGTCACGTAGAACGCTACACCATCCATGACGCTGGCGAGACGGACTTGGCAGATATGAAGGTTCGTGCCGTAGACCTCCGCCGACCGTGGCTGCCTTGGAGAAGCTCTGAGCCCAAGTGTTGGGTCTGTAAGCGCGATCCATGAAGCGAATGAGACCAAGCTTACAACAGATTGATACGCGAGAAACGCATCCCCAGTAGTAGTGATCGGAGTGCCGAGTGCCTCTCTAACATGCACGGCAGGAATGCCAAATACACGGGCGACCCGCGCGCACTACAACGAGGCATGGCGCCTGAGTTAAAGAACCCGTCACGCACGCGGTTCTATTTGCGCTGTCAACTTCGGTGTCATACATCTGCACGACTTCGATACATGGATGCATGAGAACGTCTCCTACCTCGGCTCGATCATGAGACTGTTTGCAGACGCTCGCTGGTGCAGAAATACGGGGGATCTGGCTCGCTGGCTGCGGTGCAAACGCTGCAGTACGGACAGCGGCAGATCAGAAGACGACTCGCAATCCGTGATGCAGCAGGCAATCTAGCGAACCCGCGGAGCGAGCAGGTGGGAGGTTCTGGCTCGCCTGGGAGGAAGATCACCCGCAGATGGTAATCCAGGAAAGCCAGACGTCCTGCGAGGAAGGTCTCACAGGACACGCACTTTGGTGCTCTACTTGTATGTACACTTCCTAGGAGCAGACACGAGGTGCCACGGCAGGGGTCGTATTGGGAGGTGCACGGGCTCCCACCGTGTTTGCAATGCCATGACGGACTGTCCTCTGGGCGTAGTCTCTGGGGGCCGGAATTGCGCAATCGCCCTTGCGTGAGCTGACAGCCTTTGGCGAGGCAGCGGCGACGGCGGTTGTTGCGGTGTGTTTTGTTTGTCGGGTGGCGGGGGCCGGCGTCTGCAGAATAACCGGATGGAGACGGTCGCTGAGATCGTGATGGGGATCTCGCGGCACATTACCAGGCCGGATATGGCAGTCCTGGCCCTGCGAGAGCGCTGTGTGATGCCGCGGGAGTCCGAGTCGCAAGTAGGCGGGGCAACACCTGTTGGCGTGCACCCGACAGTCTCGCCACGCGAGGAGGGCAAGAACAATCGAGTCACCATAAAAGACATCAATCTGCGGCGAGATGGCTAGCGCGGGCGGCAAGATTGAAAGTCCGCGAAGATTGGGAATTTCACACGAGCGTGTGCGGAGGCCCAACCAGCACAAACGAAGGGCGTTGCAGGTCCCGGTGTCCTTGCTCCTCTGCCCATACCACGCATGCACGCGGGATCTCCTCAGCGAGGCTCCCCGCCGTCCCGTGCCACCCCAGGCCGCCGCCTCTCCTCAAGACCCATGCCAGACAGCCCTCGTGCTAGCACCTCCACAGAGCTACCCGGCCGATCGTCCGCGGCGACCCTTACCTCCAGCCTCGACATTGCCGTTGAGGGCGCCATCGCCATCGACCAGCTCGAGCCCGCGCCCGCCCACGCCAAAAAAGACCCTTCGCGGCCCATGGGCAGCGAATCCAAGCGGGCTCCCCGCAAATCCAAGACCGACGCTCTTGCTGCGCTCACCGCCGTGTCCCAGGAGGAGTCCAATGAAAGTGCTCTGCACGAAGAAGAGGCGGGCGACCGAGTCTTCCTCAGAGACGGCCCGCCTATCCAAGTCCCGCATATACTCGACCTTTCCACCGTCAAGACGGCCCATCCGCGCAGTTCTGCGTCCAAGCCCAAAGAGCGCCCGTTCGGCCTCACCGACTGCCCCACCTTCAGACCAACCCCGGAGCAGTTCAAGGATCCCATGGCGTACATCAAATCCATCTCCGAGAACGCGAAGAGCTATGGAATGTGTAAGATTATCCCACCGTTGGGATGGACAATGCCCTTCGTTACTGATACCGAGGTACGCCATGCTCATTAACTCGAGCGCCACCGCTGTCCTCACCTCGCACTGCGCCACTCCCTAGACTTTTCGGTTCAAGACGCGACTTCAACGTCTAAACTCTATCGAAGCGTCGTCTCGTGCAAAGATCAATTTCCTTGAACAATTGTACCGCTTCCACAAGCAGCAGGGCAATCCACGGGTCTCTGTGCCCACAATCAACCACAAACCACTCGATCTCTGGCTGTTGCGCAAAGAGGTCCACGGACTCGGTGGCTACGAACAGGTGCGTGTGCGCCTTCGGGACCGGACTTTGTTTGCATATCCCTCATCGCCCCCTATGGTACAGGTCACACGAAACAAGAAATGGGCAGACCTCGGTCGGCTGCTAGGATATGGTGGGATCCCGGGGCTCGCAACGCAGATCAAGAACTCGTACGCCCGCGTCATACTGCCGTATGAGCACTTTTGCAACCATGTGCGCAACTCGCCGAACCTGTCCCCCGCGAAGCAGACGGACCCGAACCTCAAGACGCATATGAATATTCAGACGGCAGGCAAGTCAGCGCGCTCGAGTGTCGGCGTGGACGACGAGAGCCCGCCGTCGAGTCCGTTGTCGAGCTCGTCGAGCCCCTTATCGGAGCCACCGGACGAGTCAGAGGCGCGTCCGCGGCGCAGTGCACGGCAGACGTCGACAGATCGGTTGTTGCGTGAGTCACCATTAATTTTCGAGTTGCGTGGCCACTGACGAACTGTCCACACAGCGCTACGCCACCGCACGGCTGCTACGCTCGGCGACGGCGAACGCCCGGCGCCCACAGAGGTGCGCTCTTCCGATTCTCCTATCGTGAAGTGGGCACTGAGCACCTCAAAGCCTCACTGCGAGGTGTGTCGAAAGAAGGACCGCGGCGAGGAAATGCTCCTGTGCGACGGCTGTGACTGTGGTGCGTGACTCCTCTCGACGCGCCACTCGCCCCTTGTTCTATCCGAGTGCTGACCCCTCGTGCTATACATGCAGGCTTTCACACGTTTTGCCTTGATCCGCCACTCGTAACGATCCCCAAGGGCCAGTGGTTCTGCCACATCTGCCTGTTCGGCACCGGCGGCGACTTTGGCTTCGACGAGGGCGAGGAGCACAGTCTGTCGAGCTTCCAGGCGCGCGACCTCGAGTTCCGGAAGATCTGGTTCACCACTCACCCGCCCTCGGGGGGCGAGGGCGACAGCGAGCGCGTCTACGATGGCGGGGACGCGGCGCAGCGCTCGTTCGACCCCGCAGTGAATAAGTTTGGCGACGTCGTGGTGACGGAGACGGACGCCGAACGCGAGTTCTGGCGACTCGTGGAGAGTCAGAACGAGACGGTCGAGGTCGAGTACGGCGCGGACGTCCACTCGACCACACATGGCAGGTGCGTTGCGGGAGTTTGTGTGCGTGGCTTTAGAAGCGGTATGCTGACTGCCGCCAGTGCGATGCCGACGATGGAGACCCATCCATTGAGTCAATACTCCAAGGATCCGTGGAACCTGAACAACATCCCGATACTTCCAGAGTCCCTTCTACGGTTCATTAAATCAGACATCTCTGGCATGACCGTCCCCTGGACGTACGTTGGCATGGTGTTTTCAACGTTCTGCTGGCATAATGAAGTGTGTAGCGTCTTATCGTGTGTTCTTTCCAGTCCACTAACGAGATGCTATCTAGGATCACTACACATACAGCATCAATTACAGTAAGTACACAGGGTCTGGCAAGTTCGGGAAGCAGCGAAGCTTATGTGTGATACGCTCTAGTGCACTGGGGCGAGACGAAGACGTGGTACAGCATTCCCGGAGAGGACGCGGAGAAGTTCGAAGCGGCCATTCGGTCAGAAGCCCCGGATCTGTTTGAGGCGCAGCCCGACCTGCTCTTCCAGCTCGTGACGCTCATGAACCCGGGCAGGCTGCGCGAGGCGGGCGTCGAGGTGTACGCCTGCAATCAGCGAGCGGGCGAGTTCGTCGTGACGTTCCCCAAGGCGTACCACGCGGGCTTCAACCACGGGGTGGGTGTCTGACTTCCCCTTGCTCTCCTGGGCTCCCAGGCTCAGG